AGCTCCGTGCCCAGCTGGAAGACGGCTTAGGATTTCCCTCCCTCTCCTTCTGCTTCTCCTCCTGCTCACTCACTCTCTCTCTCAAATAAATAAATAAATCTTAAAAAAATATATATCAATCAACTCTCCAAAGTTATGCAAATATTAAACGGTGAAATATGATATAAAAATCACATTTTCACTTCCAAAAGTCCTGGATAGTAAATGCAGAGAACCATAAGATAGTGTTGCTTATCTGTTCATGACAACCCTGTGGCCATGGCAATTTTGTTAACCACCTGAAATTTCAGTTTCATTGTGTACAAAAAAAAAAAAAGAGAGAGAGAGAGAGAGGAGAGAGAGAGAGAGAGATCCCACTAGATTATCTTTTTTTCTTTAAAGATTTTATTTATTTATTGTGTAAGAGAAAGCAGAAGAGAATGCACAAACAGGGGGGAGGGGTAGAGGGAGAGGGAGAAGCAGGCTCTCCTCTGAGGAGTGTGGAGCCCAATACAGGGCTTGATCTCAGGACCCCGAGATCATGACCTAAGCCCAAGTCAGATACTTGACCAGCTGAGCCACCCAGGCACCCCTAGTGTTGTCAACTATTAATTTTTGTGTGTGAGTGTATTCCTGGTTCTTAGAATGACAAGTGACCTTTACTGAAACCTAGACATATGGGTTATTATGAGACTCTAAATCATTAACTTTCTACTTAGTTGTTCTTGGACACCACTTCAGGAGCAGAAAGGGGATGTTGCTGCCTTGTTATTCCCAGGTAGTAAAGAAGTCCACGCTCTCTAGTTAGCTTCTGTTAAGACCTGAGGTGGTGAGGGAAGAGTTTCTTAATGCTGGGCAAAGGTAAATTCATGATTCTCCATTAGGCCTCCTCTGACACAGCACCTCAGAGGAGTGGGTTTTAGGGTTAGGGGTATTTATCTAAGTTGGCAAGGATAGAAGTCCATGTACCCCACTTGGCCTTGGTTGGCTGCCTTGAGTGGGGATGGGTCCCCTGATTTTCCACAGTATTTGCCTGAAGTAGAGACATTATTGTGTAAAATAACAGTTTTCCCCCCAATATTTTTAAAATTCTAATTATTTTTTTAAATTTGTTTAAATTCAATTAATTAACATATATTATTTGTTTCATGGGTACAGGTCTGTGACTCATCAGTCTCAAATAATACTCAGTGCTCATTATAACACATACCCTCCCCAATGTCCATCACTCCCCTCCTCTCCAGCAACCCTGTTTGTTTCCTCAGATTAAGAGTCTCTTATAGTTTGTCTCCCTCTCTGGTTTCATCTTGTTTTGTAAAATAATATGTTTTGTCTTGCTAGCCTGCCCTTTCCTGATCCTTTGACCATGAGAGAGCAGGCATTTATTTTTCTGTCTGCATCCACTGGCATTTCTAAGTTGCTAGTTTCTTCAGGTTCAAGCCTGAGATATAGGAGGCAAATAGAAAAATCAGGGAACACACCACTGTGTGCTTCTGAGTTCTAAGACCCCTACCTGGTTTGCCTTCTCCCCATCTTTCAGTCTTATGTGTAGCTTTTTTTGTTTATTTGTTTTAAAAATATTACTTATTTATTATTTATTTGAGAGAGAGTGTGAGCAAGGGGAGGAGTAGAGGGGAGAGGGACAAGCAGGCTCCAGACTAAGCACAGAGCCCAAAGTGGGCCAATCCCACAAACCCAAAATCACAACCTGAGCAGAAACCAAGAGTTGAACGTTCAAGAAACTGAGCCACCCAGGTGCTCCTTTGTTTATATATATTCAAGGTTTTTAATTATACATAGCAGGAGGAACAGGAACGTTTTTCTATCCAGGTACTTTCAACTTGTGATTTTATATCTAAAAGCTACTTTTTGTGGGCAAAGTTAGGTATTACTATTTGTTCATTTTGCCAATCTGCCTTATTTATTAGTATATTTAGACCATTTGTATTTAATATAATTATTGCTACAGCTATATTTAAATCTACAATTGTATTTTGTTAGCCCTGTGTTTTGTTCTTCTGTACCTTTTCCTGCCTTTTTTTCTGAGAATCTGAACATTTAACAAAATTCCATTGATTGCTTTCTTAGCTGTAACTCTCTGAATTCTTTTTTAAATAGTTGTTCTAAGAATTAGAACATACAGGCACCTAGGTGGCTCAGTCAGTTAAGCATCTGCCTTTGGCTCAGGTCATAATCCCAGGGTCCTGGGATCAAGTCCCTCATCGGGCTCCCTGTTGGGCACGAAGCCTGCGTCTCTCTCCCCCACTTCCCCTGTTTGTGCTCTCTGTCAAATAGATAGATTAAATCTTAAAAAAAAAAAAAAAAAGAATTAGAACATACATTCTTGGGGTGCCTGGGTGGCTCAGTCAATTAAGCATCTGCCTTTGGCTCAGGTCATGATCTCAGGGTCCTGGGACTGAGCTCTGCATCATGCTTCCTGCTCAGTGGGGAGCCTGCTTCTCCCTCTCCCTCTGCTGCTCCCCCTGTGCGCTCTGTCAAATAAGTAAATAAAATCTGAAAAAAAAAAAAAAAAACAGGGGCACCTGGGTGGCTCAGTAGTTAAGCATCTGCGTTTGGATCAAGCCCCGCATCGGGCTCCCTGTTTGGTGGGAAACCTGCTTCTTCCTCTCCCACTCCCCATGCTTGTGTTCCCTCTCTTGCTGTGTCTCAAATAAATAAAATCTTAAAAAAAATATATACTCTTAACTCTGTTTCTTAGTTAATATTGTACCATCTCATTTAATACATCAAAACTTCGCAACTATATACTTCCCTATTCTACCACATCTACTTTTTAATGCTCTAGTACATCTGAAACAGTAACTTTTGTTATATTTCATTTTAAAAAATACTTTAAGTAGGGGCGCCTGGGTGGCTCAGCGTTAAGCGTCTGCCTTCGGCTTGGGTTATGATCTCGGGGTCCTGGGATCAAGCCCCGCTTAGGGCTCCTTGCTCAGTGGGAGGCCTGCTTCTCCCTCTACCACTCCTCTTGCTTGTATTCTGTCTCTTGCTGTCTCTCTCTCTCTCTGTCAAATAAATAAGTAAAATATTTAAGAAATAAAATAAAATAAATTAAGTAATCTTGACACCCAATGCGGGGCTCAAAAAAATAACCCCCAAATCAAGAGTTGCATGGCATGATCTACTGACTGAGCCACCAGAAGCCCCACTTTTGCCATATCTTAAAGAAATTAACAAGAAAATGGTCTTTTATATTTGCCTATTTACCACTTCTCATGCTTTTTGGCCAAATCTGTACCACTTCTCAAAACTACTTGAACTTAAAGACTACCAAAGTACACCATTGCCCCATTTTGTGAATGAACACATAAATTACATATTAAGTCTGTTCCTGACCTTTCTCATTAACTCATGACAAAGAAATATCATTTGGGGGCACCTGGATGGCTCAGTGGGTTAAGCCTCTGCCTTCGGCTCAGGTCATGATCTCAGGGTCCTGGGATCGAGCCCCACATTGGGTTCTCTGCTTGGCAGGGAGCCTGTTTCCCCGTCTCTCTTTCTTTGCCTCTCTGCCTACTTCTGATCTCTCTCTCTGTCAAACAAATAAATAAAATCTTAAAAAAAAAAAAAAGCTATATGGGGCACCTGCGTGGCTCAGTCAGTTGAGGAAACAACTCTTGATCGTGGGGTCATGAATTCAAGCTCCACTTTGGACACAGAGCTTACTTAAAAAAAACAACAAAAAATGAACAAAAAAAGGCTACGTAAGTTTTAGGCCATGAATTCAAATTATTGCTTCATAAATATTTTAAGTCCTATGAGACAAAATGTACTCCAAATTTTGAGCTGCAGCTCTTATATTACAAAACTCATCCAAAGAAAAACACTTTTCAGATTCTAAATCAATTAATCTTTGATTGTTAGGAAGGTCCTGTATTCTACAATGTTTGGTTACCTAACCAAGGACTTTGTACTTTCTTAATAAAATATTTCTTAGGCTTCAATTCATAATTTTCTAACAATTTCTGCTACTGAAATATTTTATTATTTATTCAAAACCAGTTCTTTTTTCATGTGAAAATCCAAGCTGTTTTATAGCTGGCCAAACTTAAAATTAACCTTAAAAAAACTGTTTAAGAAATTTTGTTGAACATTTAATTCTAATTTCAAGTGACTGAAGTTCAATTTTTTGACTTTGAAAGATTTCATTCATTACGCATTTGCTGAAACTATCTCAGTATTATCCACTTCTTTACTGTCTTTTTCAAATACCAGCTTTTTGGGGTGCCTGGGTGGCTCAGTTGGTTGGGTGGCTGCCTTCAGCTCAGGTCATGATTCTGGAGTGCTGGGATCGAGTCCTGCTTTGGGCTCCCAGCTCCACAGGGAGTCTGCTTCTCCCTCTGACCTCCTTTCTCATACTCTCTAATAAATAAATAAAATCTTCAAAAAAACAAATAAACAAACAAAAAACAAACCAGTTTTTCTCTGCCCCAGCCAACTGCAATTGACCATTCATCATGAAATGTGTAAAGTACCTTCTTCCAGTCTGCTTATTGTTCCAGTTGTAATACTAATTTCTGTATCTCTATTTTTCAGTATGCCTTCATTTTAAATTAAAAAATGTGCATATATTCATGTCTGAACTAGAAAGATAATTAAAATAAGTATTTCAATTAATTATCAATTATGATTAATCTAAGTATCACTGTACTTCTTATTGTCTGTATAAAATACTCAGGTAAAGATGCTATGTTACATCAATTCATAGAAAAAAATAATGTGCCCTGAATCCATCTGTTGACACCAATGCAGTGATGTGTTTTACGTAGTATTACACATGACAACAAGAGTTTGACAGGCATACTACAATAATCATGAGCAAGGTAGCAAGTTAACTGTATTTCTAAAAAAAGAAGTTGTTAAAAATGTTTTACACTGCTTTTTTATATTTAATTAAATAAGAAATTCACTTAGTCCTACTGAGCTCAAGTGCTTAATAGCCACAGATAGCCAGAGGTTACTATATTAGCACATACAGAAGTGATTGATAGCCAAAAGGCTTGCAATTTTTATTCCATTTTTCATTTATTTTATACAATTTCCAGGGTTTTGAACTTATCTGGGTTGTTACTCTTGCATTCTTACTAAAAGTAAGGCAGCAGAAATGGAAATGGTTGAATGTTCTCTACAGGACTCCTTATAATATACATCATGGCCTACTCTAGTAGACATGGGCCAATCTCTAAAAAAACTATATAGTTCCTAAAAACAACCAACTTTCTCTCTTTGGAAAATGCCTTTTAAATGTGTCAATGAAAGTTTAACAATGGGGTTTCAAAAAAATTTTTTTAAGGTGTGTAGCACACAATTTACAAATGATAAAAACATATAATACCCTTTATTATAAGTTCCATATAGCCAACTGATTATCATAGAAGGCTTTTGTTGATTTTTGCCTAACTCTTGTATTGTAGCCAATCTGTGGTTACAGTTTGACCAGGACTTTACAAATGGGAGTTGCATCGCAATCTGCAATTTCCCCAATAAATTTATTGTCATTAGATATGATATGTGATCTATTGTTAAACTACTTCTCACCCTTGTACGAATTATGTTCATGAAATCGAAACCTCTTTCAGCTTCAACATTATTGATGGCAATAGTGTTAACTATCTTTTTAGCTATTTGTATAGTTGTAGGAATTGAAACACTATTAGATTTTATATTATTTACAAATTCCCGAAAATCATTCAAATCAATTTCGTATTTTAAAATTTCACATAGATGAAATAATTTTTTTTCACCAGCTATCCATGGTGAAGTCATTTCTTCATAAGGCCATGTAGAGGGTTCTAGCAAGTCAAAATAATTAAAAATACTTTCATCATGGTTTCTGTCAGTTATAAGATGTAAATGCATGTGTTCAATTATGTTTTCTAGTAACATACACTTAGGAAGAGCATTAAATTTACATATATGTATTTTTAAAGATTTTATTTATTTGACAGAGATCACAAGTAGGCTGAGGCAGGCGGGGGGGGGGGGGGGGGGGGGGAAGCAGGCTCCCTGCTGAGCAGAGAGCCCAATGTGGGGCTCGATCCCAGGGCCCTGGGATCATGACCTGAGCCGAAGGCAGAGGCTTTAACCCACTGAGCCACTCAGGCAACCCTAAATTTATTATTTTTACTAAATGGAATATCTTAAACTTATCTGACTTAATCAAACCTTCAATTTGACACTCATGCTTTCCAGTACCAGTTTTTAAATTTTCCAAGGCTCTTATGGTACATTTGATCAATTTTTGTGCTTTCTGAATGTTAGTTCATCTGGACAGTAATGCAGTGAAAATTCTTGAAGAATGTCAATCATTAAAGCAAGGTCTTGCAAAAAATGAATGTTAGCTAATCTCTTTGCCAAACCAGAGTAAAATTAGAAAAATGCTTATATAACACAGGATATGCACGCCATACAGCAGTAGCAGCTTAAAAACCACATGCCACCCATCTTGGTCCCATTACCCGGCTAATTTTAATAATTTCAATATCAAGATCTTTAGCTACATTTTCTAAAAGCTTGTTTTGATTTTTATTAGAGTGGTGATAAGTGGAATAAATTTTATCAAGAAGTAGTTTAAAAAGATAGTTGTTTTATTTCAGATATTGAATCATCAAGTGACAACTGAAATCGATAGTTTTAAACAATTCCAAGTAATGATTTTAGGGAAATTTTCCAACAATCTTGTAGCTACTTGAGATTTTCTTCCCAGAATTGTATTAGCACCATCAGGACAAAATGCAACTAAATTTGCTTTCAAATATTCATTAGTAAACCCACAATCATTTAAAGAACTCAATATTGTATTGAAAATACAATTGAAAATTCTGAATATTGAATTGAAAATTCTGCTGCAGATGACACCAATTCTTTTAAAGCAACAAATAACATAACTGGTGTGGGAGCCAACTGAACTGTGCACTGGAGATAAACCACTAGAGTGCTTTTCTTCGAAACTGTAGATGCCTCATCAATTATGATGCAGATTTTGGCATTCTCTTTTATAATATTCTTAAATATCTTCATTTTCATTTCTTTTCCAATCATGTTCTGCTATTCTTGCTGCACTGTATCATGTATTTAAACAGCTGACCTCTCTATTTTTCTCTTGTAATTCTATTACCCCCTCATTATCAGATAAAGGTCTATTGTATTTTACTAAACTGTAAACAGTATTGGAAACTTTTACAGTAGCATCAATATTTTTATTATTTTGTTTATGCACTCAATCAGAATTTGAGTCATTAACTGATTCCTTTAACAAATCCTGAATTTTACCATGAGCTTTAGAAACATCGTGTTCCCTAATTTTCTTCTGCAGAGAAGCCTGTCTAGTAGTTTTATTACTGTGATTAGGGGTTACTAAATATGCAATCTATTCCTTAGACACATGGACATGCTTTTCCGCTTTTGATCCCAAATGCTGAACTACTGAACAATCCTTATATCCTAATTTACCTTCTTTTAATTTCAAGCCATTTGTACTGTTCTGTAAACATAAATGCTTGTTTTTCATTCCAACAATATGGAAGCACAAGATTATCTGTTTCTTCCTTGGATGAATATGATGGATTTTCCTCAATGATTGGCTGTTCAACATATTTGAAATCTGATTCCTTCGACTTAGACAATCCACAATGATTTTTGCTATTATTATTTTCTGTGTCTGTTTTCACCTTCTTCACATTTAAAAAATGCAAAAAATCTCCCTGTCGTTTTGGCATTTTAGGGAACAGAATCTGAAAAATAATTTTACATATATAAGTAAAGTTCTTGAGAACACTTTAAGGATTAATGTAAAAATTTCTGTTAATGATTTCTTTACAAAATTTTAGAAATAAATTTTGAATTAAAATACTTACACTGCGGGCACCTGGGCGGCTCAGTGGGTTAAAACCTCTGCCTTCCACTCAGGTCATAATCTCAAGGTCCTGGGATCAAGCCCCACATTAGGCTCTCTGCTCAGCAGGGAGCCTGCCTCCTCCTCTCTCTCTGCCTGCTTCTCCACCTATTTGTGATCTCTGTCTGTCCAAAAACAAAACAAAACAAAACAAAACAAAACTTAAATAAATAAAAAATAAAAGACTTACACTGATTTTCAATTTGTACCTATAACTTCAATATGATTTGCTATTTGTTGAAAAATTCACTATCAGTTTTTTTTTAAGTTTTTAAATTTTTTTAGTAATCTCTACACCCAATGTGGGGCTTGAATTCATGACGCTGAAATAAAAGCTGGATACTCCTCCTGACTGAGGTAGCCAGGTGAACGTTTTTAAAATTTTATAGCCAATGTCATGAAATCTGACTATGAATGTTTGATTAACATCTAAGTGAACAGAGAAATTGCTCATATGATTTACAATTGAGTATAGTTCCAATGTGAAAAGTAGTTAATATTTTCATTTAATAAGAAGAAAAGTGAAAAGATGAAGATGTATACCAAAACTCCACTCACTTATCAATGACATCATCTTTGTGGAATCAAGGAAGAGTTTTCAGATATTACAAGGTTTTCTCAATTGTTCACATAGCACACAGTCCAGCAATTTAGAGATGTGTCACATTTTTAGGCTTAATCTGCATTAACATTTTAACCACCACTTTCTTAAGTTTAGATAATCAGTAAATAATAAATCAAGCCCTGATTTGTAGTTTGACATTTACCTTGGTGTAAATACTCCAATCATGTTGCAGGAGCATGCTGTTATATAGTATTTCTACCACTCAGATACAATACGTATAAATAATCTCAAATTAAGATATGATGAGTTTTGAGTATTTACTACCTTAAATGTAACAACTTATTTCCTTGTAACTTTATATACTTCAAATTTTAAAATATACTTTAATTTTTAACAATGGTTATGTTTAACAAATCCGCCCACAAAACTCCTGAAAATCTTACAATCAGTTCTTGCAAGCCAGTTCAATCATTTCTTGCCAACTACCTCCAACACACTTTGCACTTAATGACAGAACTGAAAAACCACAAATATACTTACATTGCTATGACAGGTGCTAGGCTTTTCATTATCACCACAGACCAGAACAATGTATTCAAGAACATGTTTTGATGGTCCCTCCTAAAAAGGAATTGAGCAAATTTACAAGTCATGAAAACCATTCAAACCAAACTTGCATTTACAATTAGGAGGTTTTTGTTGTTGGAATTAGCAAGACTTAGCAAGACTTCCTCAACAGAGGAAGTCTTCCTCAACTCCTGTTGAGGAAGTCTTGCAGGTGGCACAGAATAATCAGAAACAAAAGCAGCACAGGAGCAGATTTCAGAGTAGACGAATAAGTAATGATGACAAAACCCAAAGAGAAACTAAATCTACATAGAGGAATAAAGCCATGTGGATTCCTTTGGAAATGGAAAATAGTACAGGGATTGTATTAAAAAGACACATCACGGTACTATATTCTTTAACTGGCTGACTATCGATAATCTTTTAGATATCTAAACTCAAAAATCACAGAGTTCTTCAATAGCTCTGCTTTATCCTCCATATCCTTACACAAGCAAACATCAAGCCCTGACCTTTTCAATTGTTTCTTTACATATATACTACCTATAGAATACACCAAGCCCTAAATACCTAGGTCAAAACCCTAGATTTTATTCTATAGGTAAATGAACCAGTCAACAGTGCTAAGATGGGAACAATATTAAAGCTGTGGTTCAAGATTAGGAAAGTATGAAGTGTGGAAAGACTAGTAACGAGATAATCCGACAGTAGTAATGTAGTACTAAAATAAAAGGCTAGAAGAACAATCAGGAAGTAAACTCTTCTATATGTATATTACAATAAAATTTATAATAATAAGGGCTCCTTTTGTACTTACAAACTTTTATCATTCTTTTAGCATATATTGTGTTTAGCTACACGCATGCCTATATGCATATGGCAGAACTCAAAGAGGATGTTGTGCTATAATGTAGACTGAAAGCTGGAAAGAGATTTATAGGAAGACTCAGGAATCCATAATAGAGTATGTTAAGTAGTAACTTTTTGTATCTGAAGAACCCTTAAGCAGAGGACTGTACCCAGGAGCATTTCATCTTTAACTGATGGTACTATAAAAAAACAAGAGAAATAAGCATATCCTAGTGGAGCCCAGCAGAGGATAGGGTTATAAAGGTAAGTAAATTCTGTTTCTGAGTATATTCTAAAACTTAATTAAATTATCACTGTTCTTTTCCTGTGGAACAATTTAAAGGCAATGATGGAGGGGGCACCTGGCTGACTCAGTTATAGGAGCCTGACTCTTTTTTTTAGTGTATGTCCTGCTGAAGTGAGCATGGACTCTTGAGCTCCTGGTTGTGGGTTTGAGCCCCATGTTGGATATAGAGATTACTTAAAAATAAAATCTTAAAATAAATAAATAAATTAAATAAAATAAGGAATATTTTTACTCTCTTCTTTCTGATACTGAAATTCCACTTAAGAGTATACAAGCATACCTCTGAAATATTACAGGTTCAGTTCCAGACTATTACAATAAAGCGACTATCACAATAGAGTCAAATGAATTCTTCGGTTTTCCAGTGCATATAAAAGTTATGTTGGGGCACCTGGGTGGCTCAGTGGGTTAAAGCCTCTGCCTTCGGCTCAGGTCATGATCCCAGGGTCCTGGGATCAAGCTCCGCATCAGGTTCTCTGCTCAGCGGGGAGCCTGCTTCCTCCTCTCTCTCTGCCTGCCTCTCTGCCTACTTGTGATCTCTGTCGAATAAATAAATAAAAATCTTAAAAAAAAAAAAAAAGTCCCATTCATTTGTTTCTAAACGGCAGTCAGGAGGAACCAAAATTATTTTTCCCAAAGACCCGTGAAATATTCCTTCCAAATGCTTTTCCGTACCACCAAAAAAAAAAAAAAAAAAAAAAAAAAGGCATGGTAACTCTTCAATTTCTGCAGCTACATCATTACTCTACAACAAAGGGATGGCAGAACCAGCACCCAGCCTATCTTGGTACCCCCAAATTTAAGGTCCCAAGTGTCAAAAAAAAGGGGAGGGGGATTACCATATGTATTGTTAATGGGGAAGAATGTCAAGGAAATATCTTGTAAAGAATTTCCATATGAGGGGTGCCTGCGTGACTCAGTGGGTTTAAGCCTCTGCCTTCAGCTTAGGTCATGATCCTAGGGTCCTGGGATCCAGCTTGCTCCTCCCCCACCCCCACCTACCTCTGTGCCTACTTGTGATCTCTCTGTGTCAAATAAATAAATAAAATCTTAAAAAAAAAAAATTTCCACATGACCCTACTGGAACAAGAAACAAGAAACAACATCTTAACACCGCAACGTTTAAAGAGGGGTTATTATTTGATTTAGAAAACTGACATTTGGAAAAATGGTTTATCAGGATGCCCTAAACCTATAGTAATTAACAAACAAACATTAAACGGCCACTCATTTAAGGAAAAATTATACAACTCTGACAGCAAACCTCAACTAATCACTGGTTTGTAGAAGTTTCTGACTAGCTACCACTTTAAACAGACCCTTTGCAAAACTTTAGTTTTGGGTGAAAACCATCCCCCAATACATCATGACCCCAGTTCCCCTAAACCAAGGCTTTACAAAGCATGGCCCACAGAGTCACATGTCCTTTTGTTTGTTCCAAAGTGAAGATTCCTGGGTCCCACCTTCAAATTCTGATTCAGCAGCTGTGGTGTGAGGCCCAGAAATCTGCACTTACACATCCTAACGCTCAGAGACCACTGTCCCAAAGGGAAGACAGCCTGAAAACCACGTGTGTTCCTGGTGATGCAGGGTCTTCATTATGAACGTCAACTCCTGCATTATGCTGTAACGTGGTGATCTCAGAGGTTGGAGAAGTCTTCAAGCTACCTGCCTTCGCGTTAGGAAGCTCCAGAACGCTCCCACTTTGAGTGCTTGCAACCCTTCTTGCTTTCTCCGGTCCCTTCCCTCTAACCTGCAGGTCGTGTTTCAAAGGACACTCTTGCCCCGCTTCCATACACACTCTTAAGAGCGCACGACTTTGCCCACACGAAGTCTAAAGTGGCGCTAATGAAGGCATAAGAAGCGTGATTCCATGTGCAACATGTCCTTTCGGGCACAGTCCTTGTGGTGGCCCCTGCAGGTGCTCGGAGACCCCTTTCGGTAAATTTCCTCATCCTGTGCCATACTCCCCAGTGCCCAGTACCTGCGAGACATCCACACCCAGCTGCTGAATGACGAACGGACAGGCGAGGTATCATCATCACAGAACGGCTTACCGCGCATAGGTTTGGGATTCTGGGAAACACCCGAATTTCGTTGCTACTTACACTGACAAACTGAATGTCATCTTCATTTTCATCCGGCGTTGCCTCAGATGCCTCAGGCCCAGCTGGAGGGACAGACTCTATCATCTATAAAAATAAGCCAGAATATGCTTATCTACATACAGCCACGTACCTGGAGGAAGAGATTCTTCCCAAAAAGAACGAAAAAGGAAGAGCTCCCTAAGACACACAGCAAGCTCTCGAGGAAACCGAACTGAGCACAACTGCATGCAAATCCCACCAAGAACAGGGCTCGATGGAGTCGGGCTCTGCCTCTGCAGACGTGGAGCCATCCACAGGGAGGGGCGCCGAAAACGACTTACCAGCCCCTGCGAATTCCCCAAATCTCCTCAAGGAGGAGGGAGGCACGCACACCGCCGAGGAGCGAGCCTGTCTCAAAATGTCGCTCTCGCGGCCCGAGCAGCGGCAACAGGGACCTCCGTGGCCGGCGCACAGGGCCGGGGGCGGCCGGGCGGCCATTGTTACTGCTGGTTCCCCGCTCACACCCGCACCAGGCCCGAACGCGGACGCGCTCGGCCCGAGACGCGGACACTCTCGGCCCGCGGCGGCGGCGGGCGCCGCGCACCAGGCCTCACTCTCAACAAAACACAAAGCCCTTCCTGGCTCGCCTGAGAATGCCGCGGCCCAACGCTCGCCCACTCACCTCCGACCCCGGGTCTCCCATTTCTCCGACGGCCTAACTGACAGCACCACCGCTCCTGCGGTCCCCGCCGCCGCCGCCGCCGTCGCTGCCGTTCCCGCTGCCGCCGCCGCCACGACTTCCCTTCCCGCCCAGCACCGCTTCGCGCCGCCGTGACCCGCCCCTGCGTGAGCGCAGACGCCGCCGACGCCGCCGACGCCGCCGACGCCACCGACGCCGCGGGCGGAAAGAAGTGCGAAACCGCTTCAAAAGGAGGAGCGACCGGCTCTGGGCCGCTATCCCCCGGAGCCTCTGTCTCGCAACCCGGGCCTGCCTCCCCAGGCCGCGCGGGAAGCCGGGAGTTGTAGTTCTAGTTGCGCCGGAGACTGTCCGGCATCTAATTGAAGAGTGGAAAGGGACTCTGAGCGGCGGCGCTTGCGGTCCTATAGGCTGTTACTGCACTAAAGCAGTGTACTAGATGACCTTTCCCTCTAAATCAGTTTCCCTCTCCCCACCTTTCTTTTTTCTGTTTTTCCGTTTTCTTTTTATAGAAATATTGGTCTAGATAATCTAGATCAATGGTGTTAAAATGCTCTTTCATTGTTTGCTCAGATCCTTACCAAATTAGTGGCCGACTTTTTTCTTCTCATTATTTGCACGTGAATGCGAACAGATAGTTTATGAAAACAAATATTTACTGAAGATATTTTTTTATAAAGATTTTATTTATTTACTTGAGAGAGGGACGCACAAGCAGGGCGTGGGGGAAGGGGAAGACGTCGACTGTGCTGAGCCGGGAGCCCTGATGGGGCTCATCCCAAGACCCTGGGATCGTGACCTGAATCGAAGGCAGATGCTTGACTGACTGAGTCTCTCAGGCGCCCCCTGGCGATACTATTTCAAACCTTTTCCTCCTAGCCCCATGAGCCCAAGATCACCTAACAAATCTGCAGTCCCACAAAATCACATTTATGAATTTGATTGTGGTCTGCTATGAATGAGATCACACAACAGAGGAACTATGAGGCATGTTACAAGACAAAGGAATAGAGTTATTAGGAAATTTTAAGTTAGGGTAGAGGTAGGTGAAACTTTTGTGAAGCAGTATTTTGATAGGTAGACAATTAGGGCTGTGTGTAAAGAGTTCAAGGTCACGTCTAGACTACAAAGTAGCCCCAGAGTCCTGTTAACTTGAAAACTACAGAGATAACATAGATAGTGATTGTTGGCCCAGAACCCCCTTATCTGGAGCTCTGCCCTTGGTTTGGTGTGAAGCTAGTTTTCTGTGTCACAGGGATCAGCCAAGGGAGGGATATCTCATTCTTACTAATAGATATTCAAACAGCAAAGCTATTACTCCATGATTTTAGAGAACACATTTTCTCATTGTGTAAATAAGAAAGCAGTAGTCACCAAGGTCATCTTGACTCTACAAGTACAGTATTTCTTTGGGAGAAATATTGTCTGTTAATTTTTTAGCTGACTTTATCTCTCTGTTTTTTGAGGCCAGCAGATATTTACTTTCTCATTTGGAGGTCTGTTTTTGCTGGTCTAAATGAGAACATGGCATTTGATTACTTATGTTGGTAGCTAGTATTTGATGGATCTGTTTGATTTCTCCACAGTGCACGACACCTGCAGGTGCATTTGTACCAACTAAATTTGGGACTTGCAGATGAAAGTTGAGAAGAAGAAACATCTGCTAAGATAATAAACCCAAAAGCTGCATGTAAATTAATCATTTTTAAATCTCCTAAATGTCTAGATGAGATTTGAATTTAAACAATTTTTCTAATGTGCTGGTGAGAGTTCCGTGGTATATATACTGTGAATGGATGCAGGTGGGAGTCATTCAGTTAAGTTCTTGGAAAACAAACAGTAAATATGTGGCTGTAGCCCAAATATGCTCATGCCTTTCAATTCAGTAACTGTTGCAGGGAAAGTTTTCTCTCTTTATCTCTCTTTTTAAGATTTTACTTATATATTTGAGAGAGAGAGAGAGCATGCCCGAATGAGTGGGGGTGGGATAGAGGGAGAAAGACATGCAGACTCCCAGCTGAGAAATGAGACCACCCCAAGGCGTCATTCTAGGACACTGAAATCATGACCTGAGCTGAAGGCAAATGCTTAACCAACTGAGCCACCCAGATGCCCTTGGAATAGTCTTTTTCATTTTACATATTCTAATAGATGCATGGTGATATCACTTAAATTTGCATTAACCTAATTACTAATAATTTTGAAAATCTTTTTATGCATTCATTTGCCATCCATATATATATACTCATTGGTCATGACTTTTAAGGTCTTCTGCCCATTATTTAAATTACTTTCTTTATTGAATTTTAAGAATTTTTATTCTAGATTCAAGACCTTAGCAGATATGTGATTTCCAAATATTTTCTCCCAGTCTGTAGCTTGCCTTCCCATTTTCTTAAAATTGTCTTTCAATGAGAAGTTTCTACATTTGACAAAGTCTAATTTATGAATTTTTACTTGGTCATGCTTTTGGTAGTATATCTAAGAAATCTTTGCATAAGCAAAGTTACAAATATTTTTGTCTTTGTTTTCTTCTAGAAATTTATAATTAGGTTTTAATTTTAGGTCTGTGATCCATTTTGAGTTCATTTTTACCTATGACAAGTATGGATTGAAGTTCATGGTTTTGCATATGAATGTACAAATATTTTAGCACCCATTGTTGGCAAGATTATCCTTTCCTCTCTGAATTGCCTTTGTACCTTTGCCAAATACCAGTTGTTCATATATCTGTGGGTCTGTTTCTAAACTTTCTATTATGTTCTGTTGATGTATTTCTATCTTGACACCAGTACTATGCTGTCTTGATTACCGTAGCTTTGCAGTAAGTCTTGAAACCAAGTGGTGTTAGTCTTCCTGCTTTAATCTTTTTCAAATTTTCAGTTTTCTTGAATTTCTCTCAGCAACATTTAGTATTTTTCAGTGTATAAATACTTCACACATCTTGTCAGGTTAGTCACTAGGGATTTCATATTTTTTGATGCTATTGTCATTGGTATAGTTCTTCAAAATTCAATTTGACTTTTTAAATGGCTGCATAGTATTCTACTGTGTATATATACCACATTGTTTCTATCCTGTCATTTCTCAACAGACACTTAAATTGTTTCCAGGTCTCAGTTATTGTGAATAATGGTGCAATGAACATAAGAGTGCAGATATCTTTTCAAGATACTAATTTCCTTTTCTTTGCATATATATTCTGAATTGGGATTGCTGGATCATACAGTAGTTCTATTTTATTTTCTTTTTTAGGGAGAGGGAGGGGGTTACAGGGGAAGGCAGAAGGAAAGAGAGAATCTTAAGCAGACTTCACGCCCCGTGCAGAGCCCAATAATACAGAGCTTGATCTCAAGATCCTGAGATCATGACCTCAGCCAAAAATCAAGAGTTGGATGCTTAACTGACTGAGAAACCCAGGTGACCCTCTATTTTAATTTTTTGAGGAACTTCATACTATTTTCTGTAATGGTGTGCCAATTTACATTTCCACCAAGAGTGGATAAGGGTTCCCTTTTCTCCACATCTTGGCCAATGCTTGTCATCTTTTGAATTTTTTACAATAACCATCTTACAGGCATGAGGTGATTTTGACTCTGGTTTTGATTTGTATATTCCTAATGATTAATGATGTTGAGCCCTTTTTATTTTAAATTTTTAAAAATTTTTATTTATTTATTAGAGAGAGAGAGAGCCAGAGAAAGCATGAATGGGAAGTAGGGGAAGAAGGAGAAGCTTAGCAGGGAACCCGATGTGGGTCTTGATTCCAGGATCCTGGGATCACAACCTGAGCAGAAGGCAGATACTTAACCAACTGAACCACCCAGGTACCCTGAGCCCTTTTTAATATAACTGTTGTCCATTTGTATGTCTTCTTTGGAAAAATGTCTATTCAGGTCCTCTGCCCATTTCTTATTTGGGGATTTTTTTGCTATTGAGTTTTATAAGTTCCTGTATATTTGGATATTAACCTCTTATTGGATATGTGGGTTTATAAATATTTTCTCCCATTCTGTAAGTTTAACTTTTCATTTTATTAATTATTTCCCTTGCTGTGCAGAAGCTTTTTAGTTTGATATTGTCTACTTGGTTATATTTGCTTTTGGTTTCTATGCTTTTGGTGTCATAGCCAAAAAAATCATTGTCAAAACCAATATCAATGAGCTTTTCCCCTGTTTTCTTCTATTAGATTTACAGTTTCAGGTTTTTTAAAAAATTTTTTAAAAATTTTTAATTTTTTTTTTAAGATTTTATTTATTCATTTGACAGACAGAGATCACAAGTAGGCAGAGAGGCAGGCAGAGAGAGAGGAGGAAGCAGGTTCCCCACTGAGCAGAGAGCCCGATGCGCGGGGCTCGATCCCAGGACCGTGAGATCATGACCTGAGCCGAAGGCAGAGGTTTTAAACCACTGAGCCACCCAGGCGCCCCAAGTCTTTATTTTTAATTGAAGTATAATTGAGATACCATATTATTTTAGTTTCAAGTGTACAGCACAGTGATTTCTAACTCTACCACCATTCTCATATGTATATACATGTTTAAGGCTCCATGCCCAATGTGGGGCTTGAACTCACAGCCCTACAATAAAAGTCATAGCCTTTATCAACAGAGTCAGTCAGGTTCCCCCTTCCCATATTTTCAATTCCACTATAACAAAGGGTCTTACCTTCTCCCTTACTTTTTGACTTATCCGTTATTATGATTCATGGATTTCTATTTTATTTGGTGGGTTATAATTTTTGATCGCTCATTGCTATTGCAGAAATAAAACTTTTATTGAGGTATGGTTGGCAAAATTGTGTATATTTAGGTGTACAATATATTTTGATGTTATACATTGTGAAATGCCACAATTAAGCCAATTAACATATTCATCAGCTTACATAGTTAACGTGTGTGTGTGTGTGTGTGTGTGTGTGTGTGTGTGTGGTGAGAACCCTTAAGACCTCTTCTTAGGGCCCCTGGCTGGCTCAAGTTGTTAGAACATGTATTATACTTTATACTTATAACCCTTGGGGTTATAAGTTCAAACCCCATGTTGGATGTAGAGCTTACTTAAAAAAAAGAAATCTTCTCTCTTAGCAAATTTCAA